AAATGCATTTGCTGCGTTTCGCTGTGTTTTCAGCTGTCTTTGTGTCACTTGGCAAGGCGTTTGCACCTGCAGCACAGAGCTGTGAGTGGCCTGCCTCAGCTCGGGTTGCAGAGTTCATAGTGAGGGCATTGTGGTTAGCTGGTGCTGGCCCGCTTCTCACTGTTGCAGATGGCATTGCTGGTTAACGTGTGGCGGCCTTGGCTCCAGTCCAGAGTAAGAGCAATGTGGCACCTTGCCTCTCAGCACCTCTCCACCCCACCCCCACCCTAAAAGGATGTCCTGAAGTTCTTTGCAATGCAAAAAGCAAGACAGCAAATTTACTCTTGAGTGGGCCTCCGACAGGCAATGGCACAATGATGACGATATTGCCATCCCTTGACCTGTCACAGTCAACTTGACTGCTTTGAATTGAAACATTTAGCAGTCAACTGCTCCCTGGTGCATTTTCCATGAGCACCCTCCATCAGGTATTTGCCAACCAGTCCAGCGCTCTCTTCCCGTGCAGTGTAAATTGTCATTCACTTTGGGATCTGGTATTCTTGCAACTCTGTCCCGACAAGTGCAAGATGAACATTTTTGACAGGAAACCTCTTTATTTTCAGCGATGCTTATGTTCTACCCTACTGAACAATCATCGATACTCTGTTTTAGTGATGCTGGCCGAGGGATAGACGCGGAACCGAGACCGGAGGGGAAGAGAGACAAAGCCTGTGTGACTGTCAGATGTTCCCATGGCTGTGTAGTATGCCAGCGCATTCTCTGTATGCTCGAGCTGCGCAGAATGGCCTGGTGTGGATCGGTAAAGCTGGTGGAAGGCCTACACCCAGCATCTTCAAAAGGGCAGGGGAATTGGAAAAGGGTTGGGAGTCTGCAGTGGTTTTTTGTCTCTATTCATTCACAGGATGAGGGCATCGCTGACCAGGCAGCATTTATTGCCCATCCCTAATTGCCCAGAGGGCAGTTCAGAGTCAACCACATTGCTGTGGGTCTGGAGCCACATGTAGGCCAGACCAGATAAGGATGGCAGTTTCCTTCCTTAAAGGACATTAGTGAACCAGATGGGCTTATCTTGACAATCGACAATGGGTTCGTGGTCATCATTAGGTTCTTAATTCCAGATATTTTATTGAATTCAAATCTGCCATGGTGGGATTTGAACCCAGGTCCCCAGAATGTTATCTGGGTCTCTGGATTAACAGTCCAGCAATAATACCACTAGGTCATAGCCTCCCGGCTGTGGGGTGGCGGTAGGGAAATAGTTGGAAACACCGACCACAAAGGCTGGGCCATGGGAAGGGTCCGCGTTGATGCCAGTCAAAGGCCAAGGGGTGATTGGCCCGTGGCTGGCATGAGCAGACTCTGCTCCCGGCCAATTAGTTGAGGTTCCCACCTTGCTCGAAACCACCTCCCCCACTGTCGTTCCAGTGCATTACTGCCCTTAATCCTTCACAGAGGCCGTGTGGGTCGCTGGGCAGGCCTGCTTTTATTGCGCATCCCCGATTGCCCGTGAATTCGGTAACTCAGAGAGAAGTTACGAGCGAAATTCGGCAGATTTCCTTCCCTAAAGAGCAGCGGTGATCCTGATGGATTTTTACGCCAAACAGTGGCCGTCGTCATGGTTCCCGTGACTGAGACTCCCGTTAGTTTCAGCCTTATCACACAAGTTGGATTTGAACCTGGAGCCTCTGGATTTCTAGCCCGGTAACATTACTGCTGTTGCATCCTCTGCTGATACTGTGGCCCCACGTCGAGCTGTCCTTCTGCAGTGTTTTAATAGTTTGGAGAAGTTGTGGTTTGGATCTTAATAACTGCACATTGTAACTTGCGATTGGCTCAAGTGGCCATAGCCTGCAGCGTTTGAACGGAGGTTGCCTGAGTGTGGGAGTGTGGTTTACTGTTGCTGGTGCTGAGCAGCTTGCAGGCAGCATTGTTTAAGGTCCGACCCCCACACACTCTGTTTTTCCTCCTCCTGTCACCCTGTTTGTATGTGCACTGACCCCCTGTGGTTTCTTCGAATGCACTCCGACTGGAGTATTCAGGATGTTCTCTGTTCCAATCACACGCTATTTTTGTCACCTGCTGTATTTTACACATAAGAAAAAGCCCCTTGAGCTGTGCCCACGACAGCCCATGGGAAGAAAAAGCTGTAATTGTTATGTGTGCAGGAATGTGTGAGAAGAAATGGACTTTGCAGCGACTGAATAAAGCCTCTCTTCCTGAGCTGGGTTGCTGTGTGTAAGGCAGGTGATTTCAACATGTTTGCACGCCAGTTGGGCCACAGCTAGCGATGCCCCTGCAGCTCTGACAACGTTTGAGAAGCTCAAAAGCAGCTCTCCTGACTGGTACCCCTAGACACCACCAACGACATTCACCTCCAAGCTGCACCTCAACGACTCACCAAGGCTCCTTCGACTCCAATTTCTGAAGCTGCAGCCACTTCCACCTAGAAGCACAAGGGAGTCAAATGTAGGAACGGGGAAATATATCGCCGTCACTTCAGTGTGGCTAGGTCTTAACTCCCTCCCGAATGGGTTTGTGAGTGTACGTACAGCATGGTGGTTCAAGGAGGCAGCACACCACCCCCTCCTCAAGGGCAGTCAGGGATAGATAATAAATGACAATCCGTAAACACTGTCCCCCTGAGCCAACATGGCATGGAAACTTGAGTGGATGTCAATGCAGTGCACTTGGAGAGCTACACTGTCTGAGGTACTGTCACTCAGACCGTAAACTAAAGCCTGTGTTTGCCCTCTTAGATCAACGTAAATTATCCCATGGCATTATTTAGGAGAAGAGAAGGGAACGCTTCTTGATTCCACATTCGACAGCACTTTTTAAAAAAAAGCGTGATTATCATCACGTTACCGTTTGTGCCAGCTTTCTGCATACGGTCGGTCGGACTGCGAGCTTTCCTACTTTACGGCTGTGGCTAACCTTTGAAATTGCGACTTGTATACACAGCAGTCTCGGGTGGGCTTGGTGAGAATGTGGGCTTTTTTGCAGTCCCAGAGGTGTTGCACACCTTTCCATGGGTCACGTCCCTGCCTCAGATGTAATCCAGGCCAGTGCCCCCTGTACTGTTTCAGACTGAAAATAAGGCTTCCTCTAGCAACTCCTGAACCCAAAACTAAAGCTTCCTCTGTTCTTTTAAACTGAAAGTAAAGCTCCCTCGCTACCGTCTCTGTCAAACACTCCAAGCACAGGTACAGCATGGGAATACATACTGACTAAAGTGCTCTATACTCCTTTAGACTGAAAGTAAAACTTCCATTACACTGTCCTCATCAGACACCCCCAACAGAGGGACAGCACCGGGTTAGAGACAGTAAATCTCCCTCTGAACTGTTCTAGGATCCATTTATACGTGAAGAGATTGCATTGAATTTAGTATTTTATGCTGGTTTGTGATTGAAAATGCAATTCACGCAAGTTTGCTGAATGACTTCAGGTGTTGGTAAAGAGACTGGGAAGTGCGTGTGTGGAGGCTCTGGTTAGCGTGCAGACATTTCACTGTTAAATTGGTTTTAATGTGGTGAGGTGAATCACTTCCCCTCTAAAACCTGGCACGTGATGCAAGCAGTTAACCGTTAAGAAAGCAAGAGGGAAGTTTCCATTTATAGTGTGTCTGCAGAGCATTCTGCCAACACTGTGGGTGGCGTGTGTCTCCAGGAATCTCATGCCATCTTTCTGGTGTCTGCAACCATGGTTTATGTCCTATTTAAACAACTGTGTTCAGTAATCACTGTTTTATAATGTGTGTGTGTGTGTAATAAGCTGTGTGCAGGGGATTTGGGGAGTGGGGGGAAATGAGGTGCGACAGACTGTACTGGGGCGGGGGGATGGGAAACAGGCTGCAATAGTGACAGACTATGTGTGGGGCCGAGGGAGAGAGAACGGGCTGCTTCACAACACTGTCGCAGGGGTCAACCCCCTCTGAATAACAAAAACTGAGACACTGTTATAAAGTGGAAGTTAAATGAAATGATGCTCTCACTATAATCAACAAGTAACAATTTATTTATTTATTTATCTAACAGTGAGCAAATTAACAACAAATGAACAAACTAAACAATTCCCCCTCTTAATTACTAACTATTCCCAAATAAAACAAAATTCTAATGGTATGCTGTTCCAATAAATACAAGTCCCACTGATATAAACCAAATTAAATTCAAGAAACTTAGTCTCTCAAAACTACAGCCAGGATACATCTTCCGGAATGTTCACTGCCTTCTCCGCTGTTCTTCAGTCAGGAATGCCTTTCACCATCAGATTCTTCTGTCAGGAATATTAGCTAAGAATGCTGCTGGATCTTTAGTCAGGTGACGGTTTTCAGAGCACTTAGAGCATTTTGTGAGAATCAGTGATTTTCTCTTTAGGGCTGCCGATTGTTAACTCTAACAGATGGCAGTTGCTCTCCCACCACTTTTTGAATGCTTTATTCTTTTATAGCCTTGATGACTTATCAATTTCTTCCATTAGGATTGGTCCTAGGTTGTCAAAACCATAGATTTAAATTTAATTGGTTTTGAGCTTTTAAGTGCCTGTCACTTAAAGTTCAAATTAATTGGCTGATTTTCAATCTCCTTAGCAAGAAAACAAACCACTGCCTGGGTTGTTAACCATACAGCCTTCTGATATGATGTTTCAATTTCAGGAGCTCTCTGTGCACCTGCCCATTTCTTTCCATCTCCAAACCTAGAAAAAAAATGTCATTTTTTTTTTTTTAAGATGGGCGACGCACTTTTCCCCCTTATCATTTTACAGACATCAAATACTCGACCTGACTTCCCAACAACAGTGACAATCTGTGTGCGGGGGACAGTGTGTAATAGTGACAGAATCCGTACGGGATATGGGCTGTGAGTAATGATGCCCAGTTTGTGTATGTGTGTAGACTGCTGGTCTGGGTTTTTTCCTGCAGCGAAGGCGGGTTGACATGTTCTTGCACATCTCTCCCCTCACTTTAAAAGTTGATACCATTTTTCTTGGCCACGCAGATTGCGGGAGTCCTGACAGCTCTTCGGTCAATTCCCCACAACGGCGGCGAACAATGAACAGCTCTCCACCCCTCCATTCCTCTGTCGTCGGGCCAGGCGTCTCGTCTTCGGTTAGTTCTCCCGTCAGCAGCGTTGGCGCGCACTTCTCAGTCATCAGCTCTTCCTTGAGCTCCACTTCAACACCGTCCCTGGGCTATCGGCCTGTGAACAGCCCACAGGTAAGTAGGAAGAGTATCCTCTGTCTCCCCGCAACCCTGCTTGGCATTGGGAAGGTGGAAAGCTGGCTAAGCCAGGAGCATGGAGGGACATGACCCAGTGATTTCTGGGTTGTGGTGGATGGAGCTATAGGAAGGATGTTACAGGGAATGGAGGGTTTGAGGTATAAAGGAGAGGCTGGATAGACTGGGATTTCTTTCCCTGGAGCATTAGGGGATGATCTTTACAGAGGTTTATAAAATCATGAGCAGCATAGATAAGGTGAATAGCCGAGATCTTTTCCCCAGGATAGGGGAGTTTAAAACAAGAGGGTGCAGGTTTTAGGTGAGAGGGGAAAGATTTAAAAGGGACCTGAGGGACAACCTTTTCACACAGAGGGTGGTTCGTATGTGGAATGAACTGCCAGAGCAAGTGGTGGATACAGGTACAGTTACAACAGTTAAAAACATTTGGACAGAATTGGGAAGGTTTTAGAGGGTTATGGGCCAAACACAGGCAGGTGGGACCAGTTTAGTTTGGGAAACCTGGTTGGTGTGGGCAAATTAGGTCGAAGGGTCTGTTTCCGTGCTGTATGACTCTGAGTCGAGGAGCAGAGCAGGTAAGGTCTGACATTGGTATAAACAGTGCTTTAATGGGACAGAACTTGATCATTGCTGGAAGACAGATATGCTGCTAAAGTTTGTCATCTCCCTTCATCAGGATCCACGCAAAAATGCCAAATTTTAAATGGTCACAACAATTTAAACTGCAGGGCAATTTAAACCACAGGAGCAAAGGGGTGCCGATTACCGAAAGGCCTGTCAAATGCATGGACCTGTTCTCTGCAAACAAAAGGGATATCTTCCCATATTTTGCCAAATTACCTTGTAGATTGGGGGTCCCCTCCCCCATTGCTCCATCCATGGCGATGCCTTGTCTGATCAGATCGGACTTGCCAAGAAATGAACATCCTGTTCTCCATGCATCCCCCCAGCTATATCCCTGTCCAGGTCCATCGCTGAAATAAATCATCTAACCCCCAGCAGAGTTTTAGACCACTCTGTCCAGACTGGAGAGTAATGGCAATGTTTGTTCCTTTCGTTTTCAGATAAACTCCACAGTCAGCATGTCAAGTTTCCACACCGTCAGCAGTTCTGATGACGTTCAGTCATCGCTGGGCACGAACCAGGCTGTTTCTTACCCAGCTGGCTCTGCCACCTTGTCACTGAGGCGCATCTGTGCCATTTGTGGAGACCGGTCTTCAGGTAAAGCATGCATGGAGATTTGGCTGGTTTAAATAGAATGTTAGTAACAGGGAGAGGTTCAAGACTGGATTGAGGGTGTTACCTGTGCTGTTGTAAATACTGGGGTGAACAGCAACTGCCTCGCTTGTTGAAGACGCTTTTGTTTCTGGACTCTGCTGCATTCAATCATCTCTTTGAAGTATGCTCAGATAGTAGAATTAAATCTCGAAATCCCATCAGTCAGCCTGGGTTTTTACTCCTGTTGTCTTCTGAGAAGTGCATGCATGTGTCAGTGTTGTGTGGCTTCCTGACTTTGCTTGTCTGTCTCCCCCACCGCATGCTCTTGCGCTCGGTCCCTCTGGATCTAATGTGGGAATGTTTTTGATGTTACTGTGTGTGTCAGAATCTTTGTTAGATTACAAGTGAGATTGACGCACTTCCCTGTTTTCCTGTGAATGAATTTCTCTGAAGAGCTGTGGGTTACAACAGTGGTGTAGTGATGGTGTCAGGGAGCCCTGGCAATACCAGTTGGAGTCAATGTGAATGGGGGAGAACTCTTGCCATTTGGAGTCCTGCCTGGCACATAGGAGGACGGTTGTTGGGGTTTGATCATCACAGTCTGAGGACATCTCTGCAGCAGTTCCTCAGGGTGATGCCTTCGGGCAAACCATCTTCAGCTACTTCAGTATGTTTGCTGGTGATTGCACAATGTTCAGCACCATTCACAACTCTTCGGGCACTGAAGCAACCCATGTCCAAATGACCAGGTTTTTGTTGATGCATGTCAGAGGCTGGGAACTGACTAGAAGGGAACACACCACCTGACTCCCCAAAGCCTGTCCACCATCTGCAAGGCATAAGTCAGGAGTGTGATGGAGTATCCTCCATTTGCAAAGTTGGTACAGTACTTATGGATTGGAAGGCAGGACGTCAGGATTTGTTTGTAAAATGATAGGGGAGAAGAGTGCATGGTCCCTTTTAAAAGGTGTGTTTTTTAGGCTTGGAGATTTAAAAAAAAAGTTTGCAGGCAGCAGCAGATGTACAGAGAGTTCTTGAAATTGAAATTGTGTATCAAAAGGCTATATTGTTAGCAGGCAAAGCAGCATTTTTAACAACAGGTTTTTGAATTTAGCCAATTAATTTAAACCAGGTCCTAGATACCAAAGCCCAATTAAATTTTAAGCTGATGGTTTTGACAAGTTTAGGCCACTTCACTTGTAAGAAATTATTAGGTCATCAAGGGTATAAAAGAAGAGGACATTTGAAAATCAGGGTGAGAGCAAACTGCCATCTGTTAAGAGAACAGCCTTAACAGCCATCAGCTCTTTTTTAAAAAAAGAGAAAATTCACTGGCTTTCACAGAAATCTCTAAGATCTGAGTAAGATCTCATCTAAATAAAGGTAGTATGGCACTTTTAGCTTGTACTCCTGGCACAGGAATTTGACACAGGAAGGCATTCGTACTGAAGGATAACTGAGAAGGCAAAGAATATTCTGGGAGATTTCTTCTGTCAGTGATTTAGAGGGATTAAACTTTAATTTTTATTAGTTTGTTTTATATAAGTGGGACTTGTATGTATTGGAATAGCATACCATTAGAGTTTTATTTTATTAAGGAAGAATAGTTGGTGGTGAATTGTTCGATTTGTTAGTAGTTCTGTTAATTTGTTACCTGTTAGAGTTAGATAAATAAATTGTTACTTGTTGATTATAGAGTGA